ATCGTCGAGGAGACGACCTTTTGTTTGTTAATTAAGTTGATTTCTTTTTTATGTCGCTCTTAGACACAGACTCGCAAGTGCCCGTTCCTTTGTTACTAGACTCTGGGCGAGGAGGAAATTTATATTCAACGCCACTTACCACGTCCTCTCTCCTCCTCACTCCTCCCCTTCCTCTCTCTTCTTTTCTTTTTGCCTATCTATCTGTCTTTCTTTTTGTTTTCCTATCTCTCTCTCTGTCTCTCTCTGTCTGTCTCTCTCTCTATCTTTATCTCTCTCCCTTTATATACTTTTAAGCACTAAATACCCGTTACTGAGTTGATATACTCAAACAAACAAACAAATCTCTCTCCTTCTCCCATTTCCCCTCTCACTCCCATACCTCACTCCCATACGTCACCCGTTCCCACAATATGTTCTCCGTCAAGTTCACCCCTCGCCCCCTCCTCTCCATTCTTGGTAGGTCCTACGTCTTTTGTCCCCTCTGTTGTTTCTGTCTGTCTGTTAGTCTTCCTTTTCCCCTGCACTAAGTGATCACTATTGAGTCGATGTGCTTCTCTTTAATCAGAAAAGCAAACAAATCTCTCTTCTTCCCTCATTTCCATTCTCACTCCCACACCTCACTAATTCTCACAATGTGTGTTCCACCAGACTCACCCCCCCCCCCCCCGTCTATCTTCTCTCCCGTTTCCGTATTCCCTCCATCAACCACCCCCTTCTCACCCCTACCCCACCCATCCTTTCTATGCGTCTTCCATCAAACTCACTCCCCCGCCCCTTCCTTCTCTCTCCTCCTCAGCTCACTCTGTGGGACACGGGCGGCATGGAGCGCATGTCCTTCATCGGCTCCAGCTACTACCGCGGCGCACACGCGGCCCTGCTCTGCTACAGCGTCAACAACAAAGACACCTTCTCCATCCTCTCCCAGTACATCCTGGACATCGTCATGAACGCCGAGGGGGCCAAGATCTTCCTTTGCGGCAACATGACCGACCAGCTGGGCCCCGAGGGGTCAGAGGGCAACGCGGTCACGGACACAGACCTTGACCAGTTCATGTCCCAGTGCCAGGACGTCCTGTCCGGCGTGTACCGGGTGTCCTGCAAGGACAGTTCTGGCCTGGAGGAGATGTTCCGCGACATGGCGCGTGTTCTGCACCAGGACACCATGTCGCGGATGACGATGAGGAGAGACATGATCAGGCCTGGAGATACTCCCGAGAGGGAACAGACTACTGAGAAGAAGAGATGTTGCTGATGGCCGCTTCAGTAACTGGATGAATTTCTTGTTTTTAATCCCACGCACAGATCCACAGTTGTCAATGTCGCAGATTGCCATGTCTGTTGGGGCCGTGTACTGTGAATCCTCGGTATAACGTATTCTTGTGGGATCTGAAATGTGTCTGGTGTGACCATGGTTGGTTGTAGCTGTGATATTCAAGCTCAGCTAGGACTTGATACCACAGAGAATACACTAAATAGCCGACTGTGTGCTATATTATAAGGCATTTAGGCCTACATGAGGTTTTACTGCATAGTATACATTATGGCCTAACAGTGTCATCGACGAAGACAAGACAACCTTGTTTACTTTACAACATTTATGGGGTATAAGTATGAAGTAGGCACAGTACTTTGTGGATTAAATTCCATTGTGCAACAACTAAATCACTCACAGCTGATTTTTCGTTGTTTTAAGTTGCCTTCTTATTCTTGGCCATAATGTATATTGATAAACAATGGCCTTGTGTTGGTGAATAAAGCAGTCTGATGTCCAGAGAATTATGGAAGTCGAATGGACTCAGAACTCAATAGGTTACCCCCTACTGCAGCCGAACTCAGTAAGGTTGTCTGAAGTGGAAGGAAAAATCTGTTGGATTGGAAAAAAATGTTTTCAAAGATGGACGTGAACTCCATGCTTGGTACTCTTTTCTGATAACAGAGTTCTGCAGCAAGCCCTGAGATGGTGCAAAGTGCTTATATTATTATTTTTCGACTTTATTTCAAGAACTTTTGAGTATGCTTAGGCAAATCTTCCATTCTGCTGTAGGCATGCAGGTCACACTTAGGGAATGTTATGGATCTCAGCATTAACTCATTCAAATGTGTCTGTGGTTTTGATGACAGTGAAAAATATGTGTGTTGGTGTGAGAATGATTTCCAGTAATGTGAGTTTATGTGTGTGCTGATTTTGTTCAGTTAAGTTGCATATATATATATATAAATTTGTTGTATTTGTACCCATACAAGTTTGTGTGTGTGTTTTCTCTGTGTGTGTGTATGTGTGTGTGTGTGTGTGTGTGTGTGTGTGTGTGTGTGTGTGTGTATGTTTGCATGCATGAGTGTGCATGTGGAAACACACATTTGTAGCATTTCTGCAAGGAAAATTGAGGTCAGAGTGTAAAAAAATGTTCTCGAGTTGCTATGCTGGAAACATTTAATAGGAATAGGTCGCTATTAAAGGGATATTATTCGATATTCAGGTCACAATACAAAGGACCAAATGCTATTGTTCAGGGAACAACTACTTATGTACATTTCATAACTAAAAAGAATGACACTGCATTTTCTTGCTCATGGTTATAGTGAATGGTTGTCTGTGACTGCATTGTCATAATTTGATTTAACAGTGTGATTTAATTTTTTGAACGTTCACTTGTGCTGATTTCTAACGTTAAGATAAAAAATGTGTTTGTATACATTTCCAGACTGAAGCAAGCTCATAGTCTCTACTTTTAGTGATGAATACTGCATTTGAGCGCGCGAAAAGGCTCTTTTTTTTCAATATGAATGTCTTATATATATTACAATGTTGTTTGATACAGAAAAAACCTTTATTCCTCTTTCTGTCTAACCATGATTAATTTTAAAACAGCAATCAACATCTGTTCAGAACTTGTTCGAGATCGAAAGGCATTGTGCTTATTACGCGATACATGCTGAAACTCTATGGGGGGGGGGG